CAACTATTAGAGGACTGTGGTTATATTAATTGTCTAAGACACTGATTGCTGACAGATTTTTTTCTTGGTGAATTTTTCCTTTTGCACTTGAAACTTATCTGTCCAAGGTAGACATGGCTGGTGTAGCAGTGAGATATTAGAGTCTTTGTTGTACAGTCTTTTTATTTGTTATACTTTGATATTAAAATTAATATTTTTAGGGACACCTGGGTGGCTCAGTCTGTTAAGTGTCCGACTCTTGATTTCGGCTCAGGTCATGGTCTTAGGGTCCTGAGAGTGAGCCCCGAGATGGGCTCCTTGCTGGGCGTGGAGCCTGCTTAAGATGCTCACTGTCCCTCTCCCTCTGCTCCTCCCCTTGCCCCACGTGCTTGCACTCTCTCTCTCAAAATAAATAAATAATTAAATAAATAAACTTTAAAAAATTAATACTTCAAAAATTTTGTAGTGTAAGTAATATTTACTTAAGTGTAAAGAACATTAGAAAAGATAAACAAAATGGAAAAATTACTCTCCTATAATCCCACCATCTATGTTAGGGGTTGACATTTATTATATTATATATAATTATATATTTTTTTATATTATATATTATAATATGACATTTATTATAGACATATAAGTCTAGCTTATAATAAAAGGCATAAATTTGAAGTGTACAGTTTGATAAATGTTTACAGATGAATGTATCTCCCAGATCAAGCTGCAAAATGTTGCCAGCATGCTAGAAGCCTCTCTCATGCCCCCTGCTATCACTCTTCTCTTCACAAGAAACCGCTCTTCCAAATTCTGTCACCATAGATTGATTTCATTTATTTTGGAAATTCATTTACATGGACTCATACAATATTTACTCTTTTAGGTTTGGGGGTTTTTTTGCTCAGCATCATAAGATTCTTTAATATTGTTGTATGTAGCAGTAGTTTGTTTTTGCTATGTGAATGCTCCAGAATTTACTAATTCCATGGTTGATATATCTTTTCAGTGTTTCCATTTTGGGGCCTGTGAATAAAGCTGTTATGAACATTCTCATATGGGTCTTATAGTGGATGTGTGTGCTCATTTCTATTTAGCATATAACCAGCAGAAATATTAGGTCATAAGGTACAGTATAGCCAAACAGTTTTTGACGTGGATATACTATTTTACATTATCTTGCACATTACATTTCATTTGCTCCACTTTTTTTTTTTTTTAAAGATTTTATTTATTTATTCATGAGAGACAGAGAGAGAGAGAGGCAGAGCGAGAAGCAGGCTCCCAAGGAGCAGGGAGCCCGATGCAGGACTCGATCCCAGGACCCTGGGATCATGACCTGAGCTGAAGGCAGACGCTTAACCATCTGAGCCACCCAGGCGCCCTGCTCCACATTTTTGATAGTACTTGGTACTGTTAGTTTTTTTTTTTTTAAGTTGGGTTCAATGAGGTATAATTTAATAAAGTCTACCCTTTTTAGATGTATAATTCTGTGAATTTAGGCAAATGCATATATTTGTGTAACCATCACCAAAAATCGAGATAAAATTTTTCCATCACCCTAAAAAGTGTTCTCATGTCCTTTTGTAGTCAATCCCCTTTTCCTATCCTCACGCCCTGCAACCACTACTCTGATTTCTGTCCCTTTAGCTTTACCTTTTCCAGAATGTCATATAAATGGAATCATACAGTATGTAGTTTTTGTTTTGTTTTAAGTTTTTATTTTTAAGTAATCTCTACACCCAGTGTGGGACTTGAACTTAAAACCCGAGATCAAGGGTTGCACGCTCTACTGACAGAGCCAGCCAGGTGCCCAATATAGTTTTTTGAGCCTGCTTTTTTCACCAAGATTCATTCATGTCGTTGCATGTAACATCAGTAGTTTGTTCCTTTTTAAATTTTTTTCCAAAGGTCGAATAATTACTGTTTTATATTGGGACAGTACATTTTATATTTCAACCAAAAGACAAAAATTCAGTTAAACACAGAAAATAATGGCATCTCCCAGATGCCATATTTCTAAATCAAAGAAATACACAAATTCTGTTCCCTTTCCTCCTCCAATGCAAGCCCATAAGCCTTGCCTAAAGTCTTGAGTTTTCCATGCCATACAGCATCTAGCATCTTGGACTTTGTGAAGCACTTGAATGTAGCAATTAAAAAGCTTGAGAGAGGGACGCCTGGGTGGCTCAGTCGGTTGGGCGTCTGCCTTCAGCTCAGGTCATTATCCCAGGGTCCTGGGATCGAGTCCTGCATAGTCCTTGCTCAGTGGGGAGCCTGCTTCTCCCTTTGTCTGCCTTTTCTCCTGCTTGTGCGCGCTCTCTCTCTCTGACAAATAAATAAAATCTTAAAAACAAAACAAAACACTTGAGAGGTCTAGCAAATGGCATTTGAAAGGGACCTCAAAATGCAGATATATCTTTTCAAACATGTTACAGACTGAGCTGGTTCTTTGAACACTATCACTGTGCTTAAATTCAAGAAGCAGGCTTTAAAAATGAAAAAGGCATACAAGTTGTATTTCAGTACAGATCTTCAGCTGGTCATCGGAAAAGATTCCAACAATAAAAAAATATCCTTGGTGTCACCTGCCCCTCCCTCCCACCCAAAGCTGAAATGAAGGAAAAAACAGAACAAAACAAAAACAGAAGAATTATATGTAACTTTGGAATCCTTTAGGAATCCACTACTTCTGATTAAAAATTTTTTTATGCATTAGAGAATCGTTAAAATAAAAAAACCACAAAAGTCATCTTGCTTTGACTGCTCTTCATGTATAGAATGAGCTGCTTTGTAGAGTGCATTTGAACTGAGTCCTTGTGGAAGGTGGAGGCGTTGTGAGGCTGGGGCGGGGGGTGTTTCTTTTTTGTGGCTAAGTAGTTTATCCATTCACCAGTTGATGCACATTTGGTTTTTTCCCAGCTTTTGACCATTTTAATAAAACCACTATGAATATTCACATAGAGTTTTTTGTGTGGACATATGTTTTCATTTCTTTTCGGTAAACACCTAAAAATGGGATTGCTAAGTCATATGGCATATGTATGTTTAGCTTTCTAAGAAACTTCTAGACTGATTTTTAAAGTGGCTGTACCATTTTACTGTCCCTCCAGCATTGTTTGACCTTTCAATTGCTCTGCATCCTAATCAGCACTGGGTATTGTCTTTTTTTCCCTTTTTGGCCATTCATTCTAGTAGGTATATAGTAGTATCTCATCCATGCCTTTAATTTGCATTTCCCTGGTGAATAATGAAGTTGAACACAGTTTCATATGCTTTTCTGGCCATTTGTAGATCTTTTGTACAGTGTCTCTTATTTGCCTGTTTGTTTTGGATTATCTAACCTTTTCTAATTGAGTGATAGGAATTTTTTTATATATTCTGGATACAAGTTTGTTGTCAGACATATGAATTGCTAATATCCTCTCCTTCTCTTTCTACTACCTGTTTTTTGGTGATTTTTTAAATTATTATTAACATATAATGTATTGTTTCAGGGGTACAGGTCTGTGATTCATCTCTTACACAATACACAGTGCTCACCACAACACACACCCTCCCCCGTGTCCATCACCCAGCCACCCCATCCCCCTCGTCTACTACCCGCTTTGAAAATTCTGTTGGCACACAGCCACGCTCACTTGTTTACGTATTATCAGTGGCGGCTTTTGCACTACAGAGGCAGAGTTGCCTAGTTGTGATAGAGACCTAGTAGCTTTGGGCAGAGGCCAAAATACTTGGTGTCTGATCTTTTACAGGAAAATTTTGATAACCCCTGATATAGATAACTGTACTCTTTTTTTTTTTTATTTCTATATATCAAATTACCACAAACTTAGTGGCTTAAAACAACACACATCTATTACCTCACAGTTTCCATGGGTAAGTTGGCTGAAGACAGCTTAGCTGGGTTCTCTGCATAGGGTTTTACAGCCTGCAGTAAAGGCACTGGCTAGGGCTGGGTTCTCATCTGGAGGCTTGACTGTGGAAGGGTGTGTGTCTAGGTTTACTTAGGTTGCTGGCAGAATTCATTTCCTTGCAGCTATGGAGAATGATAACTTTGTTTTTTTTACTGGCCATAGGCCAGAGTCTGCCCTCAGCTCCTAAAGACCAGCACCCCACCACATGGCCCTTTGCATATGCACTGCACAGCATAGCTACTAGCTTATTCCAGGCCAGCAGGAGAGAGAGTGAGTCTGTTAGCAAGACAGAGTCTTATATAACACAGCGGAACCATAAGCATGACATCTCCTTTGCCACATTCTTTGGCTAGAAGCAAGTCACAGGTCCTGCCCACACTCAAGAGCACATCCAAAGGCATGAACACAGGAGGCAGGCATCACAGGGGTCACCTTAGAGTCTGGGGGCCACAGTAACTACTATTAATATAGTGGTGTCTACGTTTATAAATGTTTTTTCCTATACATATATAATTGAATATCTGTTTTTAAGCAAAAATGGGACCATGCTCACAGTTTGTTTTGTAACTGGCTTGTGTAACAGTATCATGCATGATACAGTAGAACATGAACATTTATTCAGGTCAATAAATGTAGATCCACATCATCTAATGATTGCATTGTGTCCCATTATATGAATATGATAATTTCTTTTAAAGATTTGTTTAGAGAGAGAGAGAGAGCACAAGCGGGAGGGGCAGAGGGAGAGAGACTCTCAAGCAGACTCCACACTGAGTGTGGAGCCCAACACAGGGCTTAATTTCACGACCGTGAGATCACAACATCACAACCTGAGCCGAAACCAAGAGTCGGACACTTAACTGACAGTTCCAGCCAGGTGCCCCAATAATTAATTTAATCGATTCCCTCTTGTTAAATATTAAGGTTGCTTATAATTTATGCCACATTTTACCAGGCTGCCATAGAAGAGTACATAAGTACCCTTTTCCCCCACACTGCTCCAGTACTGGAGGTGATTTGTTAAAGTCAGTGGCTTTTGACTAAAGTGTATACACAAACTGAGTACTCCCTTTTTCTCCTTTCTTTTCCTACCTATCTCTGTTTTAGATAAGAAGGCTGACTGCACAATCACAATGGCTGACTCGGACTTACTGGCGTTAATGACTGGTAAAATGAATCCTCAGTCGGTAAGTATGATGGAGCATATTTCCTCCTAGTAGGTGGGTCTTTTAGTCCATTCCGTTTCATCTCCTGCCTCAGCCTCATACCATAAAGTGCAAAGTGGTCAAACCCACAAAACTCAGTGTTCCCTAAAATGTTCGCTTAACAAATGACAAACATTTGTGGCACAGGCTATGTGCCAGGCACTGTCCTGTGTGCTGGAAATATCCAGATGAATAAGCAAGAGTTCTGCACAGGGCATTCACAATTTGGTATGGGACAAATCTGTAAAAGAGTAAGTGTATCTGAATATCCAGGGTACCATGCCTTGGTTGTGGACGGCGGTGGGGGGTGCCATGTCTTCCTGGCCATCACAGAAAGTCACACAGAGGAAGCGACACTTAAGCTGAGTCATAAGAATGACCAGAAGTTAGCAGTGCACAGATCGAAAGCAGGAGCCATCCAGGGGGAGGGAGCCATGTGAACAAAGGCATGACTTTTTATATTTCCTGTTTTTGCCCATGCTCTTTTTGTCTGAACTGCCTTCTCTGACAAACTCCTTTCCTTTCAAAATTAGCTCAGATGTTACCCCCAAAGACCTCCTTACAAGTTGCCAGGGAACTGTAGCCAGTCCCTCTTCTGGGCCATCTCCTGGAAACAAGCTTAGCACTTGTCACATTATATTAGTCATTATGCACCTATTTTCTTTCCATTGGATTCTGAGTGTCTCAAAGGAACAAACCACATCTTATTTGCCCTCATGTCTCCAGAATTTAGCACGGTGCCTGACATTTTTAGGTTTTCACTAAACAATTGCTGGATTAAATTGTATTTGTCTGAAGTGTACTGATGTCTTGTATGGGTTTTCCTGGTCCCCAAATCATCGAGGGTCTTCTTCTACTCATTAGAACAGACTTGATACACTGAGCTTTCATTAGCCAGAGAAAAAAACAAAAAGAAACTTAGATGCTGCTTTGCATTATGAACTTATTTTTCTGTTGCCTCAGCCTGATCTGTTTTAGGTCTCATTCCTACAGCCCCCTGGTAATCCAGAAGACTAAAACAACTAAATCTGATGCACACTAGTATTCCTTTCTAAAATGCTTTCTCTAAGCAGCTAAGCCTATTTCAGTTGATGCTCTGACAAGTGAGAGACTTGCATCTGTGATGTTTCAGCTTAATACACACCATTGGCATGGACATCTCCACCCACAGAGCCTGCTCCAAGAATCTGGACAAAACGGAGGCCACCAGTAGAGGAGCTGGCTGTCTTCCTCCTTCCCACCCACTGCTCCTCGTTCCGCTGTGCAGTTCATGCACTTCCTTGGCGGGGTGATCAGACTTCACACATCGGCTGCCCTCGTTCTCAGTTTATCTGTTTACCACCCATTTGGGGGAGCAAAGGATCAGCTTATTTTTCTTGAACACCTGTTAGCACCCAAAGGAACTAAAGATAAAAATGGCAGGTATTTCTGTTAATATGCTAATGGTCTTCCCTTATGCTTAGAGGATTTGACTGGAAACCATTAAATGCACTGGAAATTATAATTTCAGTGTTTGGCTACAGGTGAAACAAAGCGGTGTGCTCTCCACTGTAAAGCACACACACGAAGAACACCTAGGGGCCAGGTGAAACTGATCCTTATGTTTGCGTTCCCTAAAGGGTGAAGACTCATGTTTTCCCTATAATAATTAGTAAACAAAAAGTCATTTTCTCTTTTAATTTTTAAAAAAAGGAAAGTTGGTGAGTTTCTCTTTTAGGTACTGCTGGTCCATATTTTTAAAGGACATATGTTAAATATATTGTGTTCTGAGACACCTGACCTTTAAGTCATCAGACAGAAGGCTGTGTGCCATATAGAAAGGAAATATTTAGTTTGTCCAGACAGAAGAGGGGGAAAAGAAAAAAAGGAATTAGTCACCCTTACCAGAAGGTGTAGAAAAAGCGGAGTTCTGTGCATTCCCATGGATAAGGTAGAAGAGCTCCTAACTTCTTAATATACTTGCTTAAAAACCTAAGACTACCAGAAACTTTTTTCATCTAGCTCTTTCTTATTTTAACAGTTGAGTCAAAGACTGAGATCATAGCAGGGAAATCATGCTGTGTTCCCAAATTTGCTATTATTTCTCTAAAGTTTTCCCAGGATTTTGTTACATGATAAATTTAGCAAACATCAAGTGATCTAATCCCAGGCAGTTGTTAAATGGAACAAATTGTGGCTCTGCACTTCGGGTTGGTTTGATTCTTCTTCTTGAGCCAAAGATTGACACCAGCACCTCAGTCTCAGCAGGCTGCCTGTCCTCCCTCTCTAGGGATAAATCCTTTATCATGCAGACCAAAAAAGGAAACAAAATTGGTGACATTTCATCCACATTGTATTGAATCCCAGGAGTTATGCATGTGCTTTTTTTTCCCTAGCAGACTACTGAAAATTTCAGTTCATGCTCTTTTTTTTTTTTAGATTTTATTTGTAAGTAATCTCTATACCCAGTGTGGGGCTGGAATTTAGAGATCAAGAGTCACATGCTCCACCGACTGAGCCTGGTGCCCCTCAGTTCATATTCTTGATCCACATGTAGTATTTTTAAACAAAATCGATCTAGTACAAACCCACTTTACCTACTATTTGGAAAATGTACCATTGGTGACGAAGGCAGGTAAAGGTAGACTCAATTTCTTTTTTTTTTTTTAAGACTTTTTATTTATTTATTTGACAGAGAGAGACACAGTGAGAGAGGGAACACAAGCAGGGAGAGTGGGAGAGGAAGAAGCAGGCTTCCCGTGGAGCAGGGAGCCCGATGTGGGGCTCGATCCCAGGACCCTGGGACCATGACCCGAGCCGAAGGCAGACGCCTAACGACTGAGCCACCCACGCACCCCTAGACTCAATTTCTAAGAGAAGACATTTGGGAAAGATGTGTCGTGTGACTGCTCTTTGTAAAGTGAGCTTTTTACAAAGCCTTCCCTTTGAGCAATCTAGTTCTAAATCTATTCCAGAAAGCCAACTTTCATATTTTGAAGAAAGTTTAAGAAACCTGGATAAATAAATGATCTCAGGGCTGGATCATCTAGAAATATCAGCAATCACAAAACAAAAAACACCAAGTAATAAATTTTCTTTCTTCTTCCAGGCCTTCTTTCAAGGCAAATTGAAAATCACTGGCAACATGGGTCTGGCTATGAAGTTACAAAATCTTCAGCTTCAGCCGGGCAAAGCTAAGCTGTGAAGAACTCCCTTTGCCTACCTTTGAAAATTAAGATGAGATATATAGATATATATCCATATATTTCATTGTCCTAACTTAGATGGAAACTACACATTGGCAAATAGTGTGAGATTTGTTTTTAAATGGGTGTGACCGATCCTGTTTTTCCTAAGCTCTGGGTGGACAGGGCCCAATGGTGTACTACTGCATGCTGAATTGCATACAAAACTGTGCATTACAAAGTTCATATGGTAATTATGGTTTGGGGTAAAACTTGAGTTTCAGAATAAAATTAGGAACAGCAAAATCTAAAAACTATGTAAACAAAAGCTCTCATTTTGCTTATAAAGTATATTTAAAGATCATTCTGCTGAAGATTCAACTTAAGTTTTCCTCTGGAGAACTAGGGAAGAAGCCGAATACTAGGAACTGGCCAGTGGTAATTACTGTTGTGACTTAATGTCCTTACTCTATTTTCCATTAATAGTTTTTAAAATTCTGTACTGAGATGTTTTTTAAAAAGACTTAAATTTTGCTTTTCATGCCATCACAATGGTATTTTTTTCCCCAAATCAAAATAAACCTGATCAGAGCTTGGGGGGAAAAATCTACAGCTGAATGCAGGCCTATTTTTAAAATAAAAGTATTTTTAAAATGAGTTTCCTTCTTGAAAAAATCAGTGTATTGGTCTTAAAACGCTATTGTTAAAAATAATTGAACAAATAAAGTTTGCTTTGAGATGCACAGTTTTCAAAGTATCTATCTGTAAAGCTGTCAGTCCTTTGTTCTCATTTTCCTTTTCCATATAAGTTTAGTTTAATTATCCACATTTGATTTATCTTCTTCCTGTTTTTTCTAATGCTAATGTTATTTCTTATAACTCAGTAAGATACAGGATAAAATAATGCTTTTGGAAGAATGTTTAATAGAAAATTAAAATAGTTCTTCCTGATCTCCTTTGTGTGTATTGTGTATGTTCTCTTTGTTCAGGGTCTTCTCACTGATGGAGAGTAAGAGCAACGTTGGGGGATTTACAGTCTGTGTTATCTAGGTGTTATGTACCAGTTACTCTGATATAATCACTAGCTCTTGGTTGGGGAGGCAGTGTGTTGTAGTGGAAAGAGCACTCGACTAGGAGCCAGGAGTCTTGCTTCTTTGAGGCACGTAACTGCCTGCTGGGCCTGTTCACCAAACGGTTAAAAGAGGGGATTAAGTAGATGGTCTCTAAGGTCCCTTCAGCTCTGAGAATCCTGTGAGTCTACTCAGCCCAGCAGCACTGTTCCAGGAGTTACACAGACCCCACCTTTCTGCTGTTAACATGTTACTTCACCAAAAGGTGGTCAGAGGTAAAAAGCCAGGTTCATTTGTTAGATATTTGGAGCCTGTGCTAATCAGATCAGGACTATGGGTCAGCTCCCCTTTGACCATTCAACTTTGCATGGTCTGTGACTGGCAGAAAAGCACCTGGTGAGGGGGAAAGACAGTATAGTAAACCAATATAAATTGATCTCAAGTTCTTATTTTTTTAAGATTTTATTTATTCATTTGAGAGAGAGAGAGAGCGCAAGCGGAGGGACAGAGAGAGAGGGAGAAGCAGACTCCCCACTGAGCAGGGAGCCCGATGCAGGGCTCGATCCTGGGACCCAGAGACCATGACCTGAGCCGAAGGCAGACGCTTAACTGACTGAGCCACCCAGGTGCCCCAATCTCAAGTTCAATGAACTCAGAACAAAATTCAGACCTACTTCTCAATTGTAGTAGATTCTTACTCTGAAAAGAAAAAGATTTCAAGAAAAAAGTTCCAAAACAATGTCTGATTTATCTGTAATTTGGTTTTGCTTTATCATTCTGCTACACTTGTCCCAGATAATAAGAGATACGTGAAATAGGCTTTAGGATGAACCTAAAGAAAAAAAAAAAAAGATAAACACAAACTGATTCTCGGGGTAGAAATGTATTTGTATATATGCAATTTATACATATGCTAGAAACTTAATGATGAAATATAGTTAGTAGCAGTTTAATCTCTAGGGAAGGAAACATGGTTTGGAGGAAAGGTTAACAGGTCTGGGCTAAAACTGCTGCTTTTACAGGTTTTGCTGCTTGAGCAGGTTGAGTCTCAGTTGCCTGATCTATAAAGTGAGGATACTAATATTGGCTTCCTAGGATTATTGAGAATCTAGAGAGAGAACATATAAGTAAAGCACCTATTAGTGTTAGGTACATCATAGTCACTCAGTAAATGTGAGTTCCATTACTGTTCCCACAACTGCTACCTCTCGCCTCTGGGATAGGTGATTGTGTTGTTTTCTTAGGTCCCACTTTTGGAATCTTTTTTCACTTGTTCACTCATTTAACAAGTATTTATTGAGTGCCTACCAAATACAGGGTAATATATTGAAGGTGCAGCGCTAGGCACTGCAGGTAGTGATGAGCTCTTCCCCTCATGGTGCTTACAACCTAGAGGGAGAGACAGTTTACCAACGAGGTGGATAATTATTACAGACTGAAGGAAATCCACGAAGGAAATGGTCAGGGTGCTGTGGTGCAGAATCACAGTGACAGGCCTTCTTCGAGAAAGTGGTCAAGGGAGACTTCTCCGAGGGGGTAATATTTAAGCTGAGGTGTAAAGGTTGAGGAGCGAACCTTGCAAAGAATAATGCATGAAAGCGGGGGAAGAGGGCCAATGTGAATGGGATGTAGTGAGCTGGAAGGACAGGTCCAAGATGAGATTGCATAGGCAGGCATGTAGGAACTAACTGTATTGGAATTTGTTCATTATGGTAAGGCACTTGGGATCTGTTGGAAGATGTAGCCTTACATCCATTCATGTCTCACTCATGCTGCATATCCGCTTTGCCATTATATCCTAAGTCTAGGACCCAGGCTAATGGAGCAGCTATTACCTGGAGCATTGCGATCGTCAAGGCAGAGGAAGAGAAGGTGAAGTAGTATATCTGGCTCTTAAAGTTTCCACCCCAAAGTGATACATACCGCTTTTGCTCCCATTTCATCGTCCAAAGAAAGTCACATGTCCCACCAGGTAAAGGAGGAGGATCTGGCAAAGGGGATGAAGAAAAGGGGCTAGAGAGGTTGAGAGATGTTTCTCAAGAAGAGAGTATATATAGTCAAAAGGTGGGAATGGTCAGCTGTGTCCTTTGCTCTGTAAGGTCAAGTAGGATGATGTCTGAAAGTGTGTATTGGATTAAATTTGGCAACATGGAAGTCATTGGTGATCACTTACAAAATCAACTTCAGTGGAGTAGTAGAGATAAAAGCTAGATTGGAATTGATTTCATAAAGAGCGATGAATAAGAACAGAAAAACTCCATTTGGTAGTGATATGCTCAGTTTCCAAGTGATTAATACAGAGCAAGCACATTAGCTAATGCTTTTAGTTCTAAGTTAGGTCATCTTGCATACCACGCATTTTGCAACAACAACATCTTGCTGTTCTCTGTGCCCACCCTCACCATTCTCTCCCTGCCACAACCCCAATCCACTTGGCAAATTCCTTTTCATCCTTTTCCTGCCTTAGCTTTCAGGAAGCTGTCCCTGTTTGCCACAAGTGGAGTTAATCATTCCTTTGTAGTAATTTGTTTCTGTTTTCCCTGAACAGAGACTGCGTCTCATGTGTCCATTTCGATCCCCCCAGCACAAAGTCTTGGCTTGCTGTCGTTAAGTAAATGAATGAGAGAAGTTGAATAACAATTTAAAAAATTCACAGGGGACATTTCTGAGTATAGGAACCGTGTCACAGAAATGCAGTCTCTATTACAATGACCTTCTGTTGCCCTAATGATGAAAGAGGACATTAAGAGTTCTCCTTTAGCCTGACTTACCCTGCTCTTTCTTTGAAAATATTTGCAGCTTCTTAGAACAGTCTCTCGATTTAAGATTGAAGCAGCCTGAGCAATAAAAGTCAGTTTGTGGTTTTATTACAGGTTTAAAAACAAAGTGGCCCAGTGGGTTCTGTGTGCATTGAAATCATCAGCCTTGTTGCTGTGCTTGTCCAGATGAATTCGGACTCTGATTTCTACAGTCCTTGTTGAATTTATAGAGAAACAATAATGGAGAATATGATTAGGAAGTGAATGTGGAAGCAGGGTGTGGAAGAGTCACTGAGGTGTGATCAGAAGAATCTCCTTGGATCAGGTCCTGTCTGCCTCTGGGAAGCTAAGTCAGAGCAAGGCACTCAGACCTCACCAGTTTTTAGTTTCTTCCTCTGCAAAAGGGGGACACTTAATTTTTTAATAGTCTCATTGGACTGTGAACACCTTGAAGGTAGAAACTCTATGTTATTCATCTCTCTGTCTTGTTTTAATACAGTGTCTACCAGAGTAAGCATCAGGTAAAGTTTCTCGAGTTTTAGACACTGATCTTTAAAGTTTTTTATTTTTATTTTTTTAAGATTTTATTTATTTGAGAGAGAGAGAGAGAGAGAGAGAACGTGCAGGGGGGAGGGGCAGAGGCAGAGGGAGAAGCAGGCTCCCCGCTGAGCAGGACCCTGGGATCATGACCTGAGTTGAAGTCAGCCACCCAGGAGCCCCATTAGTTCTTTTTAAATGGAAAATCCCTTTGAAAGGTTCAATCACATATAAATATAAACCCATTCTGTTTTCCCCATATATGTCACCTTAGAAAAAAGAAATATGAAATTAAATCGTATAATGAATAGCTTTATCTTCTGAAACTTTAGCAGTTTCAGAAAATAATACTATAGAGCAGCCTGGTTTAGGAAACTTGGGGCCCATCAGATGTGGGTTTTGGTCCAGGCTGTGGCACTTAAACAGCTTTGGGACCTTGAGCTAATAATAAGTAAGGGCTCTGAGCTTCCTTCTCCCTGTGTAAAAAGGGAATAATAATTCTCCCTTGCTGGCTGTGAGGGTTAGCAATTATAGCTGTAAAATGTCA